ATATAATATAAAAAATATAGCTCAAAACTATAAAAATAAAATATAATAAAAAATATAGCAATATAATATAATAAAAAATATTGAAATATAATAAAATAAAAAATATAGAAATATAAAATAATAAGAAATATAGAAATATAATATAATAAAAAATATAGTATAATATAATAAAAATCTAGTGATATAATATGATAACATGTATAGTAATATAATATAATAAACACTATAGTACTATGACATAATATAATATAATAAATAATATAATATAATAAAAAAAAATATTAAAATATAATAAAATAAAAAATAAAGAAATATAAAATAATAAGAAATATAGAAATATAATATAATAAAAAATATAGTATAATATAATAAAAATCTAGTGATATAATATGATAACATGTATAGTAATATAATATAATAAACACTATAGTACTATGACATAATATAATATAATAAATAATATAATATAATAAAAAAAAATATTAAAATATAATAAAATAAAAAATAAAGAAATATAAAATAATAAGAAATATAGAAATATAATATAATAAAAAATATAGTATAATATAATAAAAATCTAGTGATATAATATGATTACATGTATAGTAATATAATATAATAAACACTATAGTACTATGATATAATAAAAATAATAATATACATATAATATAATATAATATAAGTATATTTAATATAATTATAATATAATATAATATAAACATAATATAATATAATATAAACATAATATAATATAATATAAACATAATATAATATACTATAAACATAATATAATATAATATAAACATAATATAATATAATATAAACATAATATAATATAATATAATACAATATAAACATAACATAATATAATATAATATAATATAATATAATATAATATAATATATAAAAATAAATATAATAAAAAATATAGCAATATAATATAATAAAAAATATTGAAATATAATAAAATAAAAAATATAGAAATATAAAATAATAAGAAATATAGAAATATAATATAATAAAAAATATAGTATAATATAATAAAAATCTAGTGATATAATATGATAACATGTATAGTAATATAATATAATAAACACTATAGTACTATGACATAATATAATATAATAAATAATATAATATAATAAAAAAAAATATTAAAATATAATAAAATAAAAAATAAAGAAATATAAAATAATAAGAAATATAGAAATATAATATAATAAAAAATATAGTATAATATAATAAAAATCTAGTGATATAATATGATAACATGTATAGTAATATAATATAATAAACACTATAGTACTATGACATAATATAATATAATAAATAATATAATATAATAAAAAAAAATATTAAAATATAATAAAATAAAAAATAAAGAAATATAAAATAATAAGAAATATAGAAATATAATATAATAAAAAATATAGTATAATATAATAATAATATAATATATAATATTATAATAATATATAATATAATATATAATATTATAATAATATATAATATAATATATAATATTATAATAATATATAATATAATATATAATATTATATAATATAATATAATATATAATATTATATAATATAATATAATATATAATATTATAATAATATATAATATAATATATAATATTATATAATATATAATATAATATAATTTATAATAATATATAATATAATATATAATATTATATAATATATAATATTATATATAATATATAATAATATATATTATATTGTATGGTATATTATATTATATCATATAATATAATATAATATAATATAATATAATATAATATAATATAATATAATCTAATATAATATAATATAATATAATATAATATAATATAATATAATATAATATAATATAATATAATATAATATAATATAATATAATATAATATAATAATTACTCAAGTTTCACGTAATTCTTTTCATAACTTATCTTGTTCCATTTTACAGTTTTGCTGGGATGCTTACCATTGCCCTTCTAATATTCATCTTGGTTACTTTTAACTAAATTAATTAATTTTTAGTGTTTACAATTTTTATACTTTATTTGTACACAACACAACAAAAAACATTTGTTACAAAAAAACATTTGATATATTTTCAAAGTGATGCCAATTTATTTCAACCATAATTACTGTTGTTCTTTCACAACTCTAAAAAACCGAACTAGTATCTATTATATATCGTAAAAAAGAAATTCCTATACATAATAAAATAGTATCTTTTATACATATGTATATTATATGTATTTTATTTACAATAAAATGTAAAATATCTGTCCGCTCAGATTTGTTTATTTTGATAAACTAAAGATATTGATATGCAATGCTTCATTGTAGATATACATTATAATTAAATGGATTATACGTAAAAAATAACTTATAAGTTTTTAGTTAAACAAAGCCGGAGACGTATGGCACATGAACTATCCTTACTTAGATTATTTATAAAGGGATATAAGTGATATAAAGGGAGTAATAATATAAAGGGATCAGAGTGCACACTTTTTATTTTAAAAAAGATTTATTACGCTTGTGTTTTTGTTAAATTTAAATAATACAAATATATACATATATATAAAAATAAAGTATTATTAATTAATACTTAATTAATTAATGTTTATGTAGGATTTGAGGAAGGAAAAGCTGGAGATATACTGCAGTGAGATAAATTGCATTAGTGGTGACTCAAAAAAGATCTTCTCTTAAAGTCTGTTGGCTCGAGGTCATATGCTGTTCTCCACAATATATACAGTCCAAGTAAACCAATAACAAAGTCGTACTAAGAGCTTTATTATATAATGGATAAACATTATACGTCTCCCACGATCCAAAGAGCGAAGAAAGTTTCATATTGCACTGATAAGAGAAGATGACACGATTTCGAAATGGTGCACTAGAACAAAGCAACTAGCGTTAAATTGCAAGTTCGGTGTGCAAGTTGAGTCTTTTGTTTTGGACCGGTTTAATGTTGGATTTCGCTAGATGAAGCACTACGCAAAGCACTCATTATGGAAGTGAAACAAAAAGCAAGACTGCAATGAAATGTTCAAATTAAAACAAGATACAAGAGCGGCGTTAAATATGCCAGGAATAACATAATAAAAATTACAATCAAAGTTCAACTTGCAATCAACAAAGTGAAAAATAATGCAATCACTGTGGGTGAAGAAATCATGCTTCAAAAAATTGTAGATACAAAAATAGTAAATGCAATCAGTATGGAAACATTGGACACAAAGCATCAGGGTGCAGGAATTTAAAAATTAGTAAGAATAACAATATCAGTATCAGTATGTTAATTATTTGTGACCAAACAATTTTAAAAAATGTTTTTTGCAGGCTAATTGGTCAAATCTTTTGTTTTTTATATTGTTGTTAAAAATATAAATAAAAGTTAAGAAAAATGAAATCACAATTTACTTTTGCAATAATTTTTATTTTTATTTTTTTCGGTATTTCGATTTTAGTCTAAAGTCATCTTCAGGAAACTAAACATTAAATTCAAATACTAATCAACATATTAATACATAGTGATGGACTAGAGCATAAATGTATGTGTTAAGTTTTATATTAAATTTAGTATAAAAATTAATTATTAATAATCATAATTATTATTATAAATGTCATATTAATTATATATAAATATATTAATTATCATAATTATTGTATGTGTAAATAAGTACTTTAATTTAGTTTCTTATTCTGTCTTTATTGTTGTTATTATCTCATATTTTTAGCAATGTTGCTGGTTCTCACAATTAAATATTCGCATGCTATCACCGTGCCAGACGTAACATGATCATCTTCACACGCCACTGTGCGAGGTTGATAAGCATTATGTTCATTTTCTTTTATCGTGTGTTCGTTGTGAGTTGCAGCAATAGGCAAGCTGCTGCGACAATTCTGTTGTTCCCACAGGTGCAATATGAGTTGACGCATGGCATAAGTGATAGCACATTCAAGTCATCAAATTTGTGAAGCAAGTTGGTATATGGCAAAACACATATACCAGCTTGCTGACTGCAATAAATAGTATAACTTTAGGTAATGCACATATTTCCCACGTATGCCCTTGGCTTTGAATGTTCAAAGTCCATCGGATAACAAATCGTGGGAACTAGGTGCATTTCCTCTTTTACCATAAGCTTAGTATTAATAATTAATAATAAACACATATATATATGTAAATATATATATATGTTTATATACAATACGTAACTGGTTCATGTGCCGGATTGCGTAAGTGAATGCTTAGCTGGTTAATGTGCCGGATCAGCTAAATCCGTATCAGACTAGATACGGATGAAAACATAACGTGTAAACGCTAAGCTGGTTTAAGTGCCGGATTGGCTAAAAGCCGTATCAAACTAGGTACAGTACATAACAGTATGTGTATATATATATACATATTTACATATATTCGTACGTAAATGTATGTAAAGAAAAATACAATGTTTTTTTTTATATAATACAAATGTTTAATACTAAATTATTAATATACTTGTTTATTGATGTATAATACTTTTATACATCTGGGCACAGTTGTCAACATCAGTTTTAAAATTAAGCCTTGTGTTAGGTGGAATTTTTAAAATTGCGAGCATCTCAAAGAAGTATCGTTTACGATGATTATTTTATTGGCGTAGAATTTTCACATTTTCTAAATTCAGCTCATGGTGTGTAGAAATACAATATGAAGCAAGGGCTGTTTTGGCTTCCACACCGACCTTATTTTTTATGCTGTGCTTATGACCAGCCATTCTAGTTTTTAATTTATTTTTGGTCGTTCCAACATATACTTGGTCACATACGTCGTACCCGTCACATTTGCAACTGATTTGGTATACTACGTTTGATTTGTAATAGTAATATGTATAATGCTTTTATATATTTTGTTATCCTTATTAGTAGTATCATTCTGAAAGTTGTTAATATTTTTGATAATCTGTTCCACATTGGAAGAGGGAAAATCATTTCTCTTTAAAATTCTTCGCAATTTTTTTTGTAAATCATCATGGAAATCATCATTTCGTCATGATTCTAGGCTTAGACATCATTTCTTCAATGCAAAGGTTCACCAGTTTCAAGTGAAACTAGTGAACCCATCGGCATCCCTTTTCTTTGTGTGAGTAATTTATTTTCGAAAATGAAATAATTATTATCTTTAAGACAAAAGTATAATATATCAAAAAATAAGGCTTTTTAATTGCTGTAAATGTCTTTATTTTGTTCCATTTTTTCTTTATAATTTTTAAAGCCAAGTCAAGAGGTATACTAGGAAATAAAGAAGTAACGTCAAAAGAGATCATTTTTTCATTATCATATACAGTGACTCCATCGCATAATCGGACAAGCATTTGTTCGATATAAATGTGCTCTAAACTTTAAAAAAAATGCTAAAAATATGACTTTTTTTGCTTTAATTAATACTTAACATACTTATCTATCTAAATTATAAAAAAAAATAAAACATTTCTCATAATAACTATTAATTTAAAGTAAAAAACAACCAACACAATTTTTTGGGCTCAACACATAATCGGACAAACTGAAGCAGCAATGCTAAAAATACTGTTATTTTACAAATATGCACTTCAAAACTACAGTAATGAATATCACAACAATGTTTCTTACATTAAGATAAATATAAATTATAAAATTGTAACATAAATTAGTATTAAAATGGCACCAAATGGAAAGCAATCTACTGTCGAAATTAGGCAAGTAATAATTAAATTGAATTTCGAAGGTAAAACCGTTAGAGAAATTGCCAATTTAGTTGGAATAAGTCAATCTACTATTCAAGACATTATTAAGAGGTCCCATTATGAGTTTAGGCTGGCCAATAAGAAAAGAGCAGCTTAAGGCACTATAGTAAATGATCGAGAAAAGCGTTCGATATTGAAAGAAATAAAGAAAAATCCTTTCAAAACCGCAAAAGACCTTAAATTATCATTAAAACCCCGCCCTGGGAAAGATATATGCTTAAATACTATTCGCAATACATTACATAAATTCGATAACCACGGAAGAATTGCCAAAAAGAAGCCGTTTATAAGTATTAAAAATAAAAACAAAAGAATAAAATATGCTAAGGAATATTTACTAAAAACAGAAGGCTTTTGGAATCAAGTAAATTGATGGTAAATCATCTTAAACACATTTTCATTGATAATATTCATTTTTTTAAGGTTTTGTTCACTGAATAAAGTAAATTTATTCTGAATAGATCTGATGGTAAGATGTTTGTATGGCGTAAACCAAATGCAGAATTCAATCATCACAACACAAAAACCACTATAAAACATGCAGGAGGCTCTGTTATGGTTTGGGGTTGTATGTCAAGTGCGGGAGTGTGTAATTTGCATTTTATAGATAGTAAAATGGGCAAATCTGAATACCTCGACATTCTGAAACAGAATATAAAACAAAGTGCAGAGAAATTGAGTATCGCAGAAAATTTTCATTTTTATCAGGACAACGATCCCAAGCATACGTCAAGCGTAGCAAAGCTTTGGTTGATCCATAACTGCCCCAAGCTAATTGACACACCTGCACAGAGCCCAGACCTGAATGATATTGAGCATCTTTGAAAGGAATTAGCTAGGAGAGTGTACCAAAAAAAATTTAACACAATAGTACAGCTAAAGGAAACTTTACTCGAAGCATGGTACTCTATTGAGCCAGAAGTGTGCCAAAAATTGGTAAAATCAGTTCCAAATCGTCTTCAGGCCGTTCTGGATAACAAAGGATATGCAACAAAATATTTAATGCCACATTTCTGCATTTTTAACATGGATGCTTAATTTTGTCCGATTATGCGTTGAGCCCAAAAAATTGTGTTGGTTCTGTTTTCTACTTTAAATTAATAGTTATTATGAGAAATGTTTTATTTTTTTTATAATTTAGATAGATAAGTATGTTAAGTGTTAATTAAAGCAAAAAAAATCATATTTTTAGCATTTTTTTTAAAGTTTAGAGCACATTTATATCGAATAAATGCTTGTCCGATTACGCGATGGAGTCACTGTATGTAGGAATGTTAATTTTATTTTTATATATAAATTCTATTGCATCTTTTACATTATAGTTAGAGTTTTTTGTTAAGTTCTTCAGAATGGACGCCATATATTGACATAATTTATACGCTGGTGAATTAATACAAGAACAAATGGACCTAAGGGGCATATTCTCCTTAAGGATCTTCGGTAAGCCATATATTCTAACATAGGAGGATTAGCAATGTTGACTGTTAAATTTTCTTTCTCCTTTTTATCAATAATGTGGTCATCATATAATATATTTACTAAGGTTTTATTTTTAGTTTGTAATGACGTTGTAGGATCTTTTCTTAAAACTCTATAAGACATTATATCATTTAACATGCTGTTCATTTTTGAATCATAATCTACTTTTGTTATGGCAACAGTTTGTTTGTTTGTTGCCTTTGTCTGATTTTACTATAAATATATTATTATTTTTTAGTTTGTTCTACTGTTCTTAAAATAAATTTCTGTTTTGCATTATGCTTTAATTGACGTTTGTTGGTTTTACCATGTTAATAAAATTTGTTTTTGCAATATCTTGCTTATCTTTGTTTTGCAAAGTTTTCATGCAGTCCTCTCCATCTGTTATGTATTGGAGAAGAGGAAAGCTTTTTTTA